TGAAATAAAGTCGTTATTTTTGTTTGTTTTTGCGCACAAAAAGTATTCTCGTCGCTTGATAAACTTAAGATTGAGCCACTGTAGTCATTTGGACTATTTTAAAGATGTCTTTAATAACTTTTCGAGGCCGGGAAGTTCAATCCCTGAAGAAGCCTATGGAGGAGTGATCCAGCTCTCAGATTTCATCAAAAATATCTTAATTCGTGTTCCGAAGATGAACGAAGGTCTTACGGGGTTGAACAACATGAGGGTGAGTAATTACTGACAGAATTTTCATTTTTGGGTGAACTAACCCTTTAATGTAAAACAGAAATAGTCCTAAGTTGTAGTCGCTGTAGCATTTGTCATATAGTTCTTTATGTTCCGACACCGACACCAGCAGCTCTACATTCATCTTGCCTCGCATCTTCCTCGTCTTATTTCTTCCCGGCAGTGTAGACCATAGATATCCATAATAAAGGCCATATTTGGCCAGCAGCGCGGACGAGACATCTAGCCTTTATTATGGATATCTATGGTGTGTAGACCAAGGGGGTAATCCATCGACCGGAAGTTGAACCCGGCCGGGTGCCGCCATGTTGTAGCAGAACTTCACTTGCGTTAGCATTTCCATTGACTCCCATTCATTTTGGCGTCACTTTGACAGCGAATAACTTTACATCTGAGGTGTTTAAAGACTCCATTTGTCCATTATTTATTTCTAAAGAAACACGACAATGTATAAAGGGCTCCATTACCTTCTATGTTACATTATGGCCCCGTAGAAACAGATTTAGTAAAAATAGGCTAACGATTGCGTCATAACCACTCGACTCTCTGTCGCGCTGTACAGAAATGACCGTACAGACAGGAGGAGAAGCTCGCAGGCGATCGGGGGGACGTCCCGTCAAGGGAGAAGCCCATAGATAATGAGTCCATAAAAGCAACGGAATACTTACTCCTGCTCACTCACGCCAAAGAACTCTTTGCTCAAGTTCCCCGTCTCTGCAAGATTAACGTCGGCAATTTTCACGCACAGCTACTAGAAGAGTAACGTCTGTCAGACAGGTTGCTCACGTCATCAAGCTTAGTTTGAGTCGGGTTGAGTCTGCGCGTCAGGAACGGAAGTGCTCAAAAATCGCTAAAAATGGGCTTCAACTGTCTCAACAATGAGATGGCTCTGTCCACTTCTTATACTGTCTATGGTGTAGACGCTGGCGCATCTTCTTCGCCGTTACGTGTGTGTGCTCAGCAAGACCGTTTTGTGTTTGAGCGCCCCCAAGTTGTGTTTTACTGTAACTTCAGAAGCTCCAGACACGTGAGTAAAAGCGGAAATCTCATTGGTCGGATAGTTTTTGACGAGGCGCGTCAAACCAAAAAAACGAACCCGAGGCGTTTTAAAAAAAATTACGCTTTTACGCGTGGCGTTTTTCGCGTCGGTGTGCACACTCACATTGGCGCCCTTTGTTTAGTCACGAGGCGTTAAACGTCGGCGAATATCGCGCGCGAAATTCGTCCCGGTGTGAACAGGCCTTTAGGGTACGTTTACATGACAACGATATGTTTAAAACTGAGAAGTTTTTCCTTTGAGTTTTCCTCATACAGACGACACCATTGTCAAAACGATCCCCATTCACACGGATCCGCGGAAACGACTAAAAAACGCTGTATTCTGCTGCCGGACCATTAGATGGCGATGAAGCACTATAGACTGAACATGTAATACGCATGTGGATGACATCATCGTCTTCAGAGATACACGTTGTTTTTTTGTTTTTTTTTACGGATACTAGGGCTGTAACGATACGCGATTTAAAATCGAAATCGCGATACTCAGGTCCACGATCCTGTATCGCGATGTGAGAAGGCAGAATCGCTATCACACCCCTTCCAACTCCCAGAGATATCCTTCCTGTCCAGAACTACCACATCTTTAAATTACTATTAGTATTATTTGAAGTTAACATTATAAAATACGTAGACCTACACCACAAAACTAGTTGAGGATAAATTATTTAAAATTTGGCAATTTCAGCATTATGGACGTGAAATTTGCAGCCAAAACTTGAAATATAAATTCTCAGAAAGTGCATTAAATTAATCCTCAATTGACCGGCAACACGTCCAACATGCAGATGCATATCCTACGGCACCATCCCGAAATCAATTTAGTTGGAGTACAGAACACAACACAAAAGCAGCAGCCTACACTGCCTAGTAGTTTAATAATTTGCATAGTTATTATTGTTCTTTGGTGTTTAGATTATACAGGTTTTTCCTAATGTTATTTAATAAAAATACCAGTATTTTTTTTCTTCTCTCAAAATCTCTTTTTTTCACCACAAGCCCCGCCCCCGTAATAGAATCGCGATACGAATCGAATCGTGGGTCAAAAATTACATATTTAAAAGTTTTTTCCTTGAAAGAAAATTCTTCATGCCTTAAAATATCTTGAATGTAACTCGACACTCTTGCCTCATTTAGTATGGGCGTGGTTCTATGAATATGCAAATGAGCCCCGCCTCCACTCACTCACTCAGCTCAGAGATCCACCGGTTGACGATCACACGTTGATCTGATTGGTTACAAGGTCGTTTGTGACGTCAGAAACACCAGCGATTTCAAACCGTGTTTTTGAGACTGTCTTTGGTTCACTGCAGTTTTAAGAAGAAAATATTGAGCAATGCTGTCGACTTACAGGTGAAACTCGAAAAATTTGAATATCGTGCAAAAGTTCATGTATTTCAGTAATTCAACTTAAAAGGTGAAACTAATATATTATATAGACTCATTACATGCAAAGTGAGATATGTCAAGCCTTTATTTGTTATAAGTTTGATGATTATGGCTTACAGATATGAAAACCTTTTCACAATATTCTAATTTTGAATTTGGGGTTTTCATAAGCTGTAAGCCATAATCATCAAACTTATAACAAATAAAGGCTTGACATATCTCACTTTGCATGTAATGAGTCTATATAATATATTAGTTTCACCTTTTAAGTGATATTCGATATTCTAATTTTTCGAGTTTCACCTGTATGAATTTGCACATGGTTTGTCTTAAAGCATATTAAAAACACCACACATAGACATATAAACCACAGGGCGACTCAAGTTTTTGCTTTATTTTGCCAATGAAAATAGTTTCAAACAAATCCATAGCAGACATGTGTATTCCCGAGCAACACACTCGTTACTCGTAGTTTCGTTTCTGTTTCGTCATCAGCTGCTTTGAACAAATTGGTTGAATGAATGATTCCGTGACTCACTTATTAAGTGATTTGCCGCCACCTACTGGCAGTTTTAGTTTCATATTTCAAAGTATAATTTTATTTTTTCATCATATTTCTACATTCAAAGTGTTACTTTTGAAACATTAATTAATTGTACCAATTTAACTTCTGTGCCTCCTCTGCAGTGCAAAGATACATTTTGTTGTTAGTGCTTTCATTTGATTAGTAACAGCTCTGTATAGTGTCTTATTATTCTAATTGTATTTATTAATTAAACACAAGACATTTTACAGGCAGTAAATGATTTTGATGAATTCTAGGTCTTGGTCTTGACTTGGTCTCGGTCTAGGTGGTCTTGACTACATCGCTAGTTTATGACGAGGAGGATCTTTTAAGCTACAAAAAAAAAAAACATGCAGGATGTTTAATTGGTACAAAGACCCCTTACATGATTTCTTATGGTTATGTTATGACCCCTAACAGTGTTTACACACCAAAAGAAGTCAATCTACTGGCTATTGTTCTCCCTACACATCAAACCGAAGAAAAAAATGACACTCATGGCCTTTAAGCATTTCAAAAATTGCTCACATTATCTTGTTCAGAGCTCATTTGGTAACTCGCTCTGCTCAAATGAGTTGAAGATTTGAATACCCAGATTAGAGCGCTCTGAAACGAGACGGCTACACCCCTACCCTCTTCCGCCGCCTCGTGTGAGTGTGAAACGTCCTTCCTGCGAGTGCGTCCCAGTCGCTAATGAGTGGAGTGCTGAGGAAACGTCAACATTTGGGCCTCCTCAATTATTCCTATTGGTTTTGCACTCAGTAAGCGAAGCCTCTTGTGAGTGAGACCGCTAATGGCTAGTGACAGAGAGGAGCGAGATCTCACAACCCAACTGTTGGCTTTTCATATCACATCCTTTCAGTTCTCGGCAGCCCAGCTGAGCCTTTTGGCCTGAACCTTCGTTATTATGCATAGCTTCCTCTTTTCCATCATCTGCCTCGTCCTTTCTGCCTCACCCCCAAGAGTTTCTTTTTTCAGCCTGAGTCTGTATGCGTGTGTGTGTGTGTGTGTGTAGAGACTTCGAGCAGTTCATGAGGCTTTCTTCGAGCCTCGTTCTTCACTCCAAATGTAAGGGCAGACGCTCATTTTATGCCAGAAAATTGAACGTTTTCTGCCAGAACAGCTGAGGCTGTGTGACATCTTCTTGGAGAGATTAAGGAAGTTCATAATACTTGAATAGAGCAGGCCATTAGCATTCCCATTCCTCTAAATAGTGCTAGCTCAGTTCGCACAGGATCCCCCCGAAAGTATGCAACCTTGCCTACTGAATGATGCAGTTTCGGGATCCACCAGTAGAGATGAACTTTCCCATGATTAACCCTGAGCCTTTAATTATAGTATTGCAAACAGCAACCAACATAGAGGGCCTGAACACTTAAAGTAATGACAATGAGTCATTGAATCATTCACTCAACCAATTTATTAAAAAACATTGATTCATTCAGTCAAACGTGCGAAGGTTTGATCTTGCTTTGGCTTCGTATGGAAGTATTTTCGTTGGCAGACCAGAAATAAATGTATTTACATACAAGTTTGGGGTCAGGAAAGAAATTAAATTAAAACACGGACGGTATTCAACAAGGATGCATTAGTGACAATAAATACCTTTTATAAAGTTTCAAAATGATTTATTTTGAACAGAACCCCAAACCTTTGAACAGTAGTGTATATTTTAGATAAATCGATTATATTAACATATAATGTGAATCCTGTCTCGCAGCCTCTCCTGGACGCTTTGGCCGATCTCCCTGAATGGTATGGAGTCAAGGGCATGCAGGCCAACTGGATTGGCGACTGTTCCGGCTGCTTTTTCAACCACATACTGAAGGTACTGAATGCTTCATCTATGGCTTGTGCAGCCAGACTGATTTGTATTTATCAGCTCCATGGCTCTTTTCAGAGGTGTATTAATGCTAACTGCTCACACGGCGATCGCTGTGAAATGATGAATTTCCATGCTGGCATATGAGCGGGTACGTTACATCAGGCTTGATTCAGAGTTTGGCTGTGTAATGCACGTACAGCTTTGTTTCTTCAAATCTGTTGTTGTTTCTGTTGTGGGAGGATATTTGTCCTAATTTGATTTCCAGCACAGAGAGTGTCTGTTTGCCTAAATCCTTTTTATCTATTGCATGTCTCTCTCTCTCTCTCTCTCTCTCTCTCTCTCTCTCTCTCTCTCTCTCTCTCTCTCTCTCTCTCTCTCTCTCTCTCTCTCTCTCTCTCTCTCTCTCTCTCTCTCTCTCTCTCTCTCTCTCTCTCTCTCTCTCTCTCTCTCTCTCTCTCTCTCTCTCTCTCTCTCTCAGGCAGATGGTCATGACACAGGGGAGGTGTTGTCTGCATACACCTGTTCTCCAGAGGCCGTGTTCGGAGCAGCGTATGTCTCAGTCCTGTCCTCACACCGGCTGCTGCACGGCTCCAGTGCCCTCAAACCAGCTCTGCTCCGAGCCCTGAGACCTGGGAGAGGTGAGACACACACACACACACACACACACACACACACACCCCTCACACCGGCTGCTGCACGGCTCCATTGCGCTCAAACCAGCTCTGCTCACTGTTAACTTGAGAACTGTAATGTTCTGTTGCTGTTTGAGCATGAAAAAGCTCTGCAAAGTTACAAAGTTCGGTAACACTTCCTTTTACAGTCCTGTTACCCATGTACATACTATGTACTTATTATAGTAATTACAATTACTGGGTAATAACTAGGTACTAACCCTGAACCTACCCCTAACCCATGTACTTACCTTATATAAGCCAGTACTTTCTAGGTAAGTACACATAAGTACTGTTCTGTAAAATGAAGCGTTACCCAAAGTTCTTCTCTATATCAGTGTCAGTGTTTCTGAACTCCTGAAACGCCTCTACTGTAGTCTTGAGTTTCTTCCGGGAACGAACACGTCACAATATTCCTCATTTACATAATTCATACGCAGAATAAAGGGGCGGGGCCTGGTTCAGTTATAATGGTGTGTTCACACCAAACGCGAATAGAGTGTCGGGCGCGAGTCAATGTAAAGACGCGTTTAGAGGTCTAGAGGTCCTGCGGCGCGAATGAGGCGTTTAGCACGGTAGATGCGAATCCAGTTCGCGCGAATGAGGCGAATTGTGTGTCTGGTGCAATACGCACGTTACGCGTGAATGATTTTATTTGATGCATTCACGCATTTGATGCGAATTCGCGTCTGACGCCCGAGTTGAAAAATCTGAACTTTGGCGTCAGTTCACGACTTCGCGCCGCGTTAACCAATCAGGAGCCTGCTTGCTGCTGTCACATGGTGAAATGACGTGATAAATGGGGACAGGCGCGCTTTTCAGTTTATAATGTTATTTAATATGTTTGGCCTCAATAACTTATTTTGTAATATGACTAAATGCCTGGTGTGGTTCTAATGCACAACAAAGCAAATATTTTATCATATAAAAACTTGATTTCAATATATGAGACATATTAATTTTGTATTGAATGCTATTTATTCCATATCTAATCTAGATTATATGAAACATTATTATTCTAATGTAAAGACAACCAACATACTTTAGTGCATAAGAACATAGTTCGTGTCTGAGAAAAAAAAAAATCACAGGACAGGTTAATCACTTTTGGAGGCTGGCTCCATTTATCATCAAAACAAAAATAAATGACAGATTAGGTGGGTGAGGGCGATCCTCGCTCCGATGCGGGACAGCAGGTCATCACGCTGGGCGCGGGACAGGCGGAAGTACCGCTGACAGCGGCCGTCATCCAGGCGCAGCTCCTGGAGCAAATGGTGAGACTCGCCTAACTGGGAACGCCTCCGGAGGGGTGACTCTCTCGATGAATGCTCAATCAACAGCAGCCATCTTGCAAACAGACAACCGCCTAGCACTGGCCCCTCCCACAAGACGCCGATTTAGCCTCGGACGCGCGTCAATTTCGCTTCAAACGCTTGCTTTTTCAATTTCGCTTTGGACACACGAATGGATTCAAAATGTTTAAGCGTCCAAATAGACGCGGTAGACGCGAATTTGACGCTCTATTCGCGTTTGGTGTGAACGCAGCATAAGTGTGTTGAAACTGGCGGTTATGGTAAGGGGGGGGGGGGGGGGGAGAGTTCCCCAAACACAGTGGAAGTGGTTTACCAATCACAACACACTGATCCAGCCGATTTATATACAGGTCCTTCTCAAAAAATTAGCATATTGTGATAAAGTTCATTATTTTCCATAATGTAATGATACAAATTAAACTTTTATATATTTTAGATTCATTGCACACCAACTGAAATATTTCAGGTCTTTTATTGTTTTAATGCTGATGATTTTGGCATACAGCTCATGAAAACCCAAAATTCCTGTCTCAAAAAATTAGCATATCATGAAAAGGGTCTCTAAACGAGCTATTAACCTAATCATCTGAATCAACTAATTAACTCTAAACACCTGCAAAAGATTCCTGAGGCTTTTAAAAACTCCCAGCCTGTTTCATTACTCAAAACCGCAATCATGGGTAAGACTGCCGACCTGACTGCTGTCCAGAAGGCCATCATTGACACCCTCAAGCAAGAGGGTAAGACACAGAAAGAAATTTCTGAACAAATAGGCTGTTCCCAGAGTGCTGTATCAAGGCACTTCAGTGGGAAGTCTGTGGGAAGGAAAAAGTGTGGCAAAAAACGCTGCACAACGAGAAGAGGTGACCGGACCCTGAGGAAGATTGTGGAGAAGGACCGATTCCAGACCTTGGGGGACCTGCGGAAGCAGTGGACTGAGTCTGGAGTAGAAACATCCAGAGCCACCGTGCACAGGCGTGTGCAGGACATGGGCTACAGGTGCCGCATTCCCCAGGTCAAGCCACTTTTGAACCAGAAACAGCGGCAGAAGCGCCTGACCTGGGCTACAGAGAAGCAGCACTGGACTGTTGCTCAGTTCTGCATGTCATTCGGAAATCAAGGTGCCAGAGTCTGGAGGAAGACTGGGGAGAAGGAAATGCCAAAATGCCTGAAGTCCAGTGTCAAAGACCCACAGTCAGTGATGGTCTGGGGTGCCATGTCAGCTGCTGGTGTTGGTCCACTGTGTTTTATCAAGGGCAGGGTCAATGCAGCTAGCTATCAGGAGATTTTGGAGCACTTCATGCTTCCATCTGCTGAAAAGCTTTATGGAGATGAAGATTTCATTTTTCAGCACGACCTGGCGCCTGCTCACAGTGCCAAAACCACTGGTAAATGGTTTACTGACCATGGTATTACTGTGCTCAATTGGCCTGCCAACTCTCCTGACCTGAACCCCATAGAGAATCTGTGGGATATTGTGAAGAGAAAGTTGAGAGACGCAAGACCCAACACTCTGGATGAGCTTAAGGCCGCTATTGAAGCATCCTGGGCCTCCATAACACCTCAGCAGTGCCACAGGCTGATTGCCTCCATGCCACGCCGCATTGAAGCAGTCATTTCTGCAAAAGGATTCTCGACCAAGTATTGACTATTGAGTGTATAACTGAACATAATTATTTGAAGGTTGACTTTTTTTTTTTTTGTATTAAAAACACTTCTTTTATTGGTCGGATGAAATATGCAAATTTTTTGAGACAGGAATTTTGGGTTTTCATGAGCTGTATGCCAAAATCATCAGTATTAAAAACAATAAAAGACCTGAAATATTTCAGTTGGTGTGCAATGAATCTAAAATATATGAAAGTTTAATTTTTAGCATTACATTATGGAAAATAATGAACTTTATCACAATATGCTAATTTTTTTAGAAGGACCTGTGTGTGTGTATATATATATATATATATATATATATATATTTAAATATATATAAAATTTAACTACAAAAAAAAAAAAAAAATACTGATACTAAATACAATAAAAATGAAATTATAAAATTGAAGTTAATTCAAAATATGAATAAAAAAAATTAAATATCTCGATACTTAAGTAACACTGCTCAGGAACATCGTTTATGGAGACTGATGGAGTTCAGTCGGGTAAAATAGTGAGACGTATGCCATCAGCAGTGTTAAAGGTTTTATCATAAAGTTTCTTTTGTGAAGAAATCAAAATGACAGTAAAGAAAAACCGTATTCATGTTTTGGTGATCTACTGATGCTTTTATTTAGAGGTTTTTTTGTAGTGTGTAGGTGTGTGTTGACCCTTGTACAGGTTGCTAGTTGTTGATCTTGTGGTGTTGCACCAACACATGAAATAACTGTAAAACCCAAAGGCTTTGTAAGAGGACAGATTTCTGCTAATGAGATCTCAGATTCAGGTATGAGATCAGAGTTCGTTGATTGACCTTTGACCCCTGTATGTGCAGACAGCCTGACTGAAGTCACTGCCCTCAACGTGTTCACTGGCCGTGAGGTTCCTGTGGTAATCTCTGCCAAGAATGAGTTCGACGGACATCTGGACACTGTGATAGGTGAGAAGGTGTGCGTGTGTGTGTGTGTGTGTGTGTGTGTGTGTGTGTGTGTGTGTGTGTGTGTGTGTGTGTGTGTGACTGGAGGCTTGTATGCTTCATCAAATGCACTGTAAATCTTTAGTTCGTTAATGTAATATTCTAGAAGGCATCTGAATGACATGTTGTGAATGTTCAAGTGTGTTCCCTAAGGAGAATCTACAGTATACATCAGGGATGTGTGTACTGTGTGTTGCTACACACATACCATAGACACCTCAATAAACCATTTCCCAGCATGCTGTGCTCCAGCATCAAGGATTTCTCTAAGAGCTTTTCACAACATAATGTGTTTTTTAATGTGTTGAACAATCAAACATGAAATCATATTCTAGTACACCCCAAAAACAAAATCAAGACTTCTTAAAAGGGCATAAAAGGACCCCTTTAAAAATAAATGCAACTCTTTTATACTCTATATAACAGGCATCCCAGATAGCAGTGAGGAGGATGAGAGGTTGGCTCAGTCTCTGGGTTTGAGCTGGAACTCAGTTCTGAAGACAGAAGAAGATGGATCACAGACTCTAATGAACTCAGATGAGGTAAACTCAGCATCACGGTTAAACACGAGGACGGACGGTTCCAGTTAACCGGTTACAACTGATAATCTCTTCTGTTGTAGTTTACAGGGCAAACCCGGGAAGAAGCCTTTAACTCGGTTACCCAGAAAGCTCGGGAGAAGAACGTTGGTGGATACCTCACTAGTACCAAGTTACGTGATTGGCTAATCTCAAGGCAGCGCTACTGGGGCACACCCATTCCCATAGTGCACTGCAGCTCCTGCGGGCCCGTGGCAGTTCCAGCGGAGGACCTGCCGGTCGTGCTGCCTAAAGTGCCTTCCCTCACAGGGAAAGGGGTGTCGCCCTTAAAGACGGCACAGGATTGGCTGAGGTGCCAGTGTCCGAGGTAAGTGGATGACTCGATGGATTGAGTCAAAAAAAAAATCTTTCTCTAATGACGGTCTTTCAAAAGTAGCTGTAAGTAGGGGTGGGCAGATCGATCCTGAAGTATCGATACTGAGGTGGTGTCAAATATGGATCAAAATGTGTGTTTTTTTTAAACAGTAATTTTATTCATTTAGCAGAAATTCAGTGAGCAAAATAAGCTTCTAAGAGGAAAAATAAGCGAATAAATTGTGTAGGATAGAAATATTTCTCCTAGTCATCTGAATTCAAGACGAAACCAATCAATCACAGAGCGCGTTCGCTGCTGGTGCTTCGCTGAGTTCGTCACAGTGCGTTTGGGAAACGAAGCCCTGAGCAATGCTTAGATGACAGAGAAACAATCGGTAGTTATTTCACAATAAACAAACTAAAAGTGTACATAACGGTTCAAAATGCTGACGTCAGTAAGATTTTTTAATTAAATTAATAGTTTTATTCAGCAGGGATCAATGCATTAAATTGATCAAAAGTGACAGTCAAGGGTTTTACACTGTTAAACAAAAAAATATTTCATATAAATGCTGTTCTTTCAACTTTCATCAAAACATCTGCATTAAATTTAGCAGGGTTTCCACCAAAAATATAAAACCCTTTTCAACATTGATAATAATAATAAATGTTTCTTGAGCAACAAATAAGCATATTAAAATGATTTCTGAAGGATCATAAAGACTGGAGTAAATAATTCAGCTTTGATCACAGGAATAAATTACAGTTTATTATGACATAGAAAACAGATAGCCTGTGTTAAATTGTAATAATATTACAGTAGGGGTGTAACGATATTTGAACCGAACCGAAAAACCGCGATACACCACCCACGATACGTATCGCGATACTCTCATGGCGAACCGAACACGCCCCGCCCCCTGCTGCCCCGCCCAGCCCCGGCTCATTGCACCTCATGTGTTATGTGTACACAACGAATACGGGGCTGTTGCCTAACCACCATTAACCACATATAATCGCAATAAGCTCAGTGTTTTGTTACTTTTAATAATAAGCCAGGGTTAATCTTTCAAATTATGTCTATTTGATCACGAAATGCAAACAATAAATGCCGTTTTGGCGCTCTTAGATGTGGCGTGACAGATATCACTGTATGCATGCGGCAGCGCGGAGCGCGATCATCTCTTCCTCAGTTACAGAATAAACATGAATGGACACCCGAAGGTATGTTGAAAGATACAGTATACTTACTGAAAGGCATCATAACTCGTGTAAACACTCAATCAGTGTTTCAACAGCGGAAATACGTCAATAAAACGCTTAGTTTTTCACATAGCTTTATATTTACCTCAGGCAAGTCATTCAGTGTCCACAGCTTGCTGGTTTGCTAACTCTTTCACTAAATAAATGCTATATATTAGCCTATATATTATATTTTACTTAACCTGTTATGATATCTTGATTATTTAATGTATGTTTAAAATAGTTGTCATGAAAATAACAGCAACTGTGTAAATTATTATATAACAATAACAAATTAGAGTAAAAACATGTTAATGCAAAAATTGCCATATGTGCAGTTTACATGTTTTCATACAATTTGTTATTTGAGTGTTGATTATTATTATATCATTTAGGCTAAAAGTCTAGTCTTTTAAGCTTTAATGTTATAGTAATGTGCAAGTAAGGGCTGTAGTTTACAGCATTAGCAGATAATTTTGTTATCCTTGAGAAACGTTTACTTGTAATTGAATTAATTTAAAGACAAGGACACAATTTGTTCATTAAAGCACTGTTTAATAAAAAATCAAAGCAATTTTAGTTTTCTAAAAAACCCCCACCCACCGAAATGAACCGAACCGAACCGATACCTCAAAACCGTGGGACGAACCGAACCGTCAGGTTTGTGTATCGTTACACCCCTATATTACAGTGTTTTTGATCAAATAAATGCAGATAAGAATTAAAAATCTTACAGACCCCAAACTTTAGAACAGTAATGCACAATAGTGCGTTTACTATAATTAGGCTAGTTTGACTAATTACAGGTGAGTCGAGAGCACAAATCACAAAATATTTTAGTGGTCATGAATATGTATTCAGATTTAGCATATTAATGATGCATTCACCTCATAAATCGTGACACACACTGCTCTAGCACAGGAAAGTACATGTTAGCTCAAGGGCATGCTTTTAAAATGAAAAAGTATTGGTATCGGTATCAATATCGGCGATACTGGCCCTGTATTTACTAAATTTATTTAATTTAGCAATAAATTTAAGTGTAAGTGTTAGCAAATATTTATATAATATTTATTTATATTATATTATAAAGAAATATTAGTATATCGCTACATCAACTGAGCCACTGCCATGAAGATTGTAGAATGTATAATATAATATTTAATATAATATTGTTTTGTTATAATATATATATTATAAAGAAATATTATTATATTCACATATTATATAAAGTCGTACACCAGCTGAGCCACTGCCATGGGGGGTTTTGCTTTGTTTTTTGTTTTGTTTGCTTACAGTATTATTTACATTTTATATTAATACTGGGCACTTCCCCCAGGTGAGTGCCACCACTAATGTTTGGATTTTGATTTGATTTTTAATTTTGTTTTTCGATTTGTTTCGTTGTATAATATAATATTTATATCATATTGTATTATAAATAAATATTATTATATTTATTTATAAAAAAGAAAGTATAAAGAAGTAAACATAGAGCAGTTGAATTTGAACCTGCATCCCCCATATGAGCACCAAGGCTCAACCTTGAGCACTAATTACTTGGATTTGTCTCAGAGGAAATCTCTTCTCACATTTAGAGGTCAGACAGTTTGGTGTCTTTGAGAGTATAAATTGAACTTTTAGAAAATGGAAAATAAAAAGTGTTTGATAAGAGATTCATCTGGTGGCATTGTAATATAAGTGGAATCATTTTCTTCCATTATCTGAATCTTTGTACTCCCACTCTGTCATGTGAAATAATGGCAGATTGGACCAGAACTCATTGTCTCAGATATAATCAAAACAGAGCCGAGTTCAGACTCCGCCAGACTGAAGTGTCTTGTTTCTGGGCGCTCTCGTCCCCTGGAGGCTACAGGGATCATTACCACTGAGTCATGGAGGTGTTGAAGATGTGCGCTCAGATAGCACCTCCTCAGTGTGAAGGGTATTAATAGACCCTCTCTGGCCATGAGTAGGTAATGCCGGCTGAGCTGCTGAAAGCTGATGACATTTATACAAAAATCCTTTGTCAGACAGTCACATGAATGGAGAGACAAACATGTTTAGCTGCCTCAGTTCATTTGTAAAATACATACACACAGAAATGTGGTTCAGAAGAGGTCGACTATTATTATTATTTTTTGTGGCCGATGCCAATATTCAGAAAGCAGGGTGGCAGATTAAAAATGTGGATTTTTGTAATTATTGATTTAAAAAAGAGGGGCAACAGAGGAAGTCTGCACTTTGCTCATGCAATCAGCTGGTGATACGATACCACGGCTCAGAGCGGCTCAGCTCACAGTGAATGAATGCAGTGAACTCTGCGTGTGCTGAGAGTTTAGCGTGCATTTGGGAACATGGCGGGCACCAGTTATGCACCAGTTATGCCCCAGTTATGCACCAGTAATGCACCAGTTATGCCCCAGTAATGCACCAGTTATGCCCCAGTTATGCACCAGTAATGCACCAGTTATGCACCAGTAATGCACCAGTTATGCACCAGTTATGCACCAGTAATGCACCAGTTATGCACCAGTAATGCACCAGTAATGCACCAGTTATGCCCCAGTTATGCCCCAGTAATGCACCAGTTATGCCCCAGTTATGCCCCAGTTATGCCCCAGTTATGCCCCAGTAATGCACCAGTTATGCACCAGTAATGCACCAGTTATGCCCCAGTTATGCACCAGTAATGCACCAGTTATGCCCCAGTTATGCACCAGTAATGCACCAGTAATGCACCAGTTATGCACCAGTAATGCACCAGTTATGCACCAGTAATGCACCAGTTATGCCCCAGTTATGCACCAGTAATGCACCAGTTATGCACCAGTAATGCACCAGTTATGCCCCAGTAATGCACCAGTCATGCCCCAGTTATGCCCCAGTAATGCCCCAGTTATGCACCAGTAATGCACCAGTTATGCCCCAGTTATGCACCAGTAATGCACCAGTTATGCACCAGTAATGCACCAGTTATGCACCAGTTATGCACCAGTAATGCACCAGTTATGCACCAGTAATGCACCAGTTATGCACCAGTAATGCACCAGTTATGCCCCAGTAATGCACCAGTTATGCCCCAGTAATGCACCAGTTATGCCCCAGTAATGCACCAGTAATGCACCAGTTATGCCCCAGTTATGCCCCAGTTATGCCCCAGTTATGCCCCAGTTATGCCCCAGTTATGCCCCAGTAATGCCCCAGTTATGCCCCAGTAATGCACCAGTAATGCCCCAGTTATGCCCCAGTTATGCCCCAGTTATGCCCCAGTAATGCACCAGTTATGCACCAGTTATGCACCAGTAATGCCCTCGAACCCCCTACAGCAAGGGTGGGGTTGGGTATTATTTTAATTTTAGCGATTCTGAATCAGCGTATCGATTCCCAGTTTCGATTCCAGTAAGGTAAAAACAATTAGTCAAACATTTAGGCCTATATCACAAATATTTATTCTGTCTTTCATATTTATTCTGATTTCAATGAACAAAAATCAGAAGCCTGTCATTTTACTATGGGTTTAAAACAAATACCAGCAAAAAAAAAAAAGCAAAAAAAAAGAAAAACGTTTTGGGTTTCGTTTTTATAACTTGCATTAATTATCCCTGTGTGTATTTAAGCCCCTAGTTTCCCTAGTTCATTTGTCCTGTATCATCAGTGTTGGATGTGGTTGTTGATTCTAGCTCGTGAGTTTTCCCTAGTATTCCTGTTGAATTTATTAAAAGATTGTTTATTTTGTACTCATTTGTCTTCATGCGCTCATTACAGCCA